GCGTGTGTGTGTGTGTGTGTGTGTGTGTGTGTGTGTGTGTGTGACTCTGTAACTCCAGCCAGGAGAACATGCCATTCCTCTCAGATCACTGCAGGAAGGGTGCATAACGCTCGCTCGGCCAGAAGATGGGATCTAATTCCCCCTGCGTTCGGAGCCGCACAGATTCATTTATTCTGGATCAATCCGTTTTATGGACTCACTTTGAATGTGTGTTTAGTCTCGATGAGCACCAGTTTAATTCTGTGTCAGTTCAATAGTATTGAGTTGAGCGCTGTTAGTAGCTAATAGATGACAAACCAGCAGTTTCAGGTCACTCACAAAAACACAGGTGCTCCTTCATTCATTAAAGACATTTCTGTATGGAAGCATATTTCTGCCACGCAAGAAAACAAAATCGTGCTTTGGTAATCATAATTTTGACCTTAAAAGTCGAAATTGACATAAAAAGTCAAAATGATGACATACTGAAATTTTGAAAATTATGACTCTAAAATTGAAATTGACAAAAAAAAATCTTATAATTCGCTTGTCAATTTTGACTTTTAAAAACATAATTCTGATTTAGTGTATCATAATTTCGACTTTTTATCTCAGAATTATAACTTTGTCAATTTTGTATTGGTATGTCATAATTGTGACTTTTTCTCATAATTATGACTTAGTATGTCATATACAAAGTATAATAATATATTAAAATATATAGTATTATAATTATAATATAATATTTTACAGCTTTTCTGTTTTGTTCAGACATTTTTACAGAATCATTTTTACAGTAGCACAATACAAATGCACCTGAGATACAGCACTGCATATGATTTTACAAATATTGAGGCAACGCTCTGTTTTTGGACCTCCCTATATGAGGAGCTGGTACCCGGCTGGGGCTTCTCCCGCCCAGCAGCCCCCAGAGCTATAGAATGGCGAGGGAGAAACCGCTGGACAGACAACAATAAATAAGACTCACAGAACATAGAACCATGTCTGCATTTGTGATCCAAGAAATGACAAACAACAAGCCCTACTCTACACTGCCCAAAAAACACGCTTTAAATTTATAAAATATAAAAACTCTTTAAATATAAAAAACGTAACTTACAGTCTTTGAGTCAGAACAGCCGAAATCTTCCCACATCGTGACATAGACATGTGGGGGCGTGTTAGAACGAGCCGTTTTAGGTAGGCGTGGCTGACTCTTAACTTTTATAAAGAATATCTCTTTGGATTTGAGACTTTAGTCTTTGCAACAGATCTTCTTTATGCACCAAGAGCTTATAACACTCCAAAGAGAAAGGAAAATTTTAAATTGCATCATATGACCCCTTTAAACCTGAATACACACAGACTCATGGGGACTCGTGTCACGGTGGGGACCTAAATTGAGGTCCCCATGGGTACAAAAGCTTATAAATCATACAGAATGAGTTTTTTTGAGAAAGTAAAAACGCAGAAAGTTTCCTGTGAGGGGTAGGTTTAGGTGTAGGGCAATAGAAAATACAGTTTGTACAGTATAAAAACCATTATGCCTATGGAGAGTCCACAAAAGAATAGCTGACCAGACGTGTGTGTGTATAGAGGTTTGTTTTATGGTCAAATGTCTTCAATAATGTAGTGAAATATGACAAGTGACTTGTGAGGACATTAATGACTGTAAATCTGATGATGTGCAGGTTTGTATGAGAGTTAGTTTAGCGTTAGCAAAGAGAAAATATCATTAATCTTTTCGAAAAACAATGCAAGTCAATGAGAAGAGCTCTCTAAAATCTAAACTCTGTATGTGTGTGTGTGCGTGTGCATGCGTGCGTGTGTGATGATTTTTTTCACTCATACTGTGTGTGTGTGTGTGTGTGTGTGTGTGTGTGTGTGTGTGTGAGTGAGTGTGTGTGTGTTCACAGCATGCGTGTTTGTTTGTCTCACCTTGCAGTTTTCCTCAGTGTAACTCTGCATTATTAATCCCTGTCCCACTGTGTGTGTGTGTGTGTGTGCACAGTGTGAGGAGTCTCATCTGCTGCAGGAGCACGAGGAGGTTCAGGAGAGAACGACGCTACGCTACGAGGAGCGAATCACAGAGCTGCACAGCATCATCGCCGAACTCAACAAGAAGATAGACCTGCTGCAGGGAGCCACCATCAGGTCTCTCTCACACACACACACACTCAAACTCAAACACTCACAGAGACACGCACACCACATGCATGCACACACACTCAAACTCAAACACTCACACAGACACACACACACACCACATGCA